TTTTGGACACCCAGTATACACCTATTTGTTTTCAACATTCTGCACCCAATTATTTTTATTTATGACTAATATATTAATACACTGGTCAGAGAACACAAATTTAACACAAACTACAATTTTTGGGCGCCCGCTATATACCTATTTATTTCCATCATTCTATCTAAATTACTCTTATCTGTCAATTATAAATAAATGTACTCGTTAGTTCCAGTATTATTATTAAATTAAAAAATATACCTAACTTTAACCTGACCTAAGTCATAATTTTTGGACACTTAGTATATATCTATTTGTTTTCAACATTCTGCACCAAATTATTTTCATTTATGACTAATATGTTAATACACTGGTCACAGAACATAAATTTAACACAAACCACAATTTTTGGGCGCCCCCTATATACCTATTTATTTCCATTATATTATCTTAATTATTCTTATCTGTCAATTATAAGTAAATGCACTCGTTATTTCCAGTGTTATTGTTAAATTAAAAAATATACCTAACCCAAATCACGATTTCTTGACACCCAGTATATACCTATTTGTTTCCAACATCCTGCACCAAATTATTTTCATTTATGGTAAATACATTAACATATTGGTCAGAGAACGTAAATTTAACACAAATCACAATTTTTGGGCGCCCGCTATATACCTATTTATTTCCATCATTCTATCTAAATTACTCTTATCTGTCAATTATAAATAAATGTAGTCGTTAGTTCCAGTATTATTATTAAATTAAAAAATATACCTAACTTAAACCTGACCTAAGTCATAATTTTTGGACACCTAGTATATACCTATTTCTTTTCAACATTCTGCACCAAATTATTTTCATTTATGACTAATATATTAATACACTGTTCACAGAACATAAATTTAACACAAACCACAATTTTTGGGCGCCTCCTATATACCTATTTATTTCCATTATATTATCTTAATTACTCTTATCTGTTAATAACATATAAATATACTAGTTACTTCCAGTGTTATTGTTAAATTAAAGAATATACCTAACCTAAACCTAATCCAAATCACGATTTTTGGACACCCAGTATATACCTATTTTTTTCGGACATTCTGCACCAAATTATTTTCATTTATGGTAAATACATTAACATATTGGTCAGGGAACATAAATTTAACACAAATCACAATTTTTGGGCGCCCCCTATATACCTACCTATTTCCATCATACTGCCTTAATTATTCTTATCTGTCAATTATAAATAAATGTACTCGTTAGTTCCAGTATTATTACTAAATTAAAAAATATACAATATTTTCACGTCACTTCCCCATTGTCATCATTATCATCATCAAATTACGCCATTTCCCAATTCCAGGCTCCTTAATTCCTCGCGAAGGAAGAGATAAGATCCGAATCAACTGGAGTCTCTTTCGAGTAAAATGCGCCTTATGAAGTTACCCTATTAAGACGTGACAATGCGTGTGCACCAAGTCGTCTCGTGGCGGGAAAGTATAAAGCATTCCCGACGATCGAGTTTGAACGCGAGTTGTCACACGTAGTTTAAGAAAAACCTCTGTCTCTCGTTTGCTAAACGCGTTGCTCCGTCCCCGGCCGGAATTAGACACCCCTATCCCATCGCCCCCTTGGATTCGTTCGCGTTATCCCGAGGAAAATGGGACGACGACGCTCCGTTGGAATAATTTGCAGTTTTCACGAACGACAGCGCGCAGAGGACAAGTTCGGAAACTGGTGACGCTCGCATAAGTTGGTTAAAGTTAAGCTGTTCGCAGGCGAAATTTGTTTTTGCGAATAGGCGAAAGCTGGTTATACGAGCCATGATGAATTAGCAATTTTTACCCAATTTCTCGTTTCTTCCTTTTTATCTTGACATGAACATTCGTCCTGTATTAATTACGCTGCGTTTACATTAAAGACTGCTTGTGAGAAGGATTTGTATTCTCGGTCATGAGAGTGTATATAGGGTGATCCGTAAGTCACGATGCAAGCAGAGTTTGATTTTTGGGGAGATTCGATAAACGAGAATTAAAGATAGTGGAATTTTGAGGCCTCCTTTTTGAACAGAGTGCATTTGAAAATCAGTATGCCTGGTTTAACACCTTTGACTGTCATAGTGGTTATCAGTGATCGGTGCTTGACTCCTCAGTGAGGCCATGATGGTCACCTGTGCCTGACGATACTGGAGTAACTTTTTAAATTTATATTTGTCTTATTCTAACCATTTTTTGAATATCTGAACAATGTAAATAAATAGGGAATTTTGAATAGAAGACAGTAATAATTTAGGTATAAATTCGTGAATATATTCCGAAGAATAAATGGAAATTTTATCAGGGTAGCATAGTGCGTGGCAGTCAAAGTGTTAACAATCGATGTTGCAGATTTTATGACAGTCGTTTCTTTCGTATTCTGCGATTTTGTCGTAATTTTTGAATTAAATTTTGTGGCATTGGCGAGTGAACCGAGTGACTGTCAACGCGATTGATGAGCGTTGGAATGATGTTTATGCTAGAGTGCCAATAGTGTGAGAAGAATGAATGAATAAATTCCTAGAATGCACGTGGAACTTTTGGACGCTTGACAGTGTATAGTAGTGGTATGTATGAATATAGGAGCATAGAAATATAGGAATAATACTAATATAGGATAAAATGTATAAGGATATAGGAGTATGCGGTGTGTATGAATACAAAAATTGGTTCTAGAAAGTCGTTTGTAAAAATCACGTAGTCAGCTGTATTACCATCTAATATGAAATTAAAAGATAAAAATAAGAAAATAAGGAAAGCTGAAGATAAAAGAAGGAAAGCTCTAACCTGCTGCACCCATTCCTGCAATTTTAAACAATCTGTGTGTATATAACATTTTTGTCTTATTTAAACATACATAATCTACTGACAAGGTGTGAACACAAAAATCTGAGACACCCTGTATATTTTTCAAAACTATATTTTATCATTCTGACTATTTTTTAAGGAAAATGTCAATTAGAATTGCAGTTGAAATCGAAACTACAGCAATATTCTGATAATAAATAAGTATATTCTAAACATAAAACAGTATACATATTTGCATTAGAAGATAGAATAAGAAGTATTATTAAAATATATTTTCGTTCCTGTATTAGGGGGTTGAGTACAGAAATTACGATTGAATCACCAAGGAAAGTAATTTTTTGGGATATCCTTGAATTAATAATAAAATTGGGGAAAAAACTCGTATGCAGAATGTATCGCGTCAACTAGGGGAATTTTGACGAATAATGGGGACATTGCGTTGCAAATATTTGCAGAATAGCGCGAATGAAGTACTGTGTTCTTTGAGTTTCCCTCGACGAAGCTAAAACTGTCTAAAAATCCGATATCAGTTCCGATCCCCTGTAAAATCTACCAAGTTTCAAGACAACCTGAATTTTCGAGGAGCGAAGTTTTCTTGTTAGCCTGAAAGCGACACAAAGCAGCATCGAAATTCATATTCGACATTTTGAAAACGGCAGTTACTTGCCGAAGAAACAAAATAAAGAGCGCGGGATATTGAATCGAAGTTGGAAGCAAATAGATTGAAGACACGGTTGCCTAAATCGGGGCTGCTGGTTGAAAACTCACTTTTCCCATAATTTTTCCCATAATTTTCTCTGTTAATATAAACTCTACTACATAGAACCTTAAATTACTTAGTGACTGTTATGTCACTTACCTTCATTTCCAAAAATTATTACCATTAATACTCTTCAAGTTTCCAGAATAATGAATTCGGAAATTATTATCGACACTAAGACACACAATGATACAGTATTAACAATAAATACAATACAAACCTATACAGTACAAACCTAAAATACAGTACAATACAGTACATAATACAGTAAAAACCTAAAATACAGGGTGGTTCGATTATTTTCTACGTAACTAGTATTCCAATTTTCTTTTATTCATCATGGATGATACGATGACACTATGTAGTAATGGTTAACATAGATTCTGGATATATATGTGCTGATACAATAAAGGAACTATGTATGTAAGAAAGGGATGAGTGGGACAAGTATGCATGAGATGCCAATATCTAATGAATTCAGGTTATCGTGATAAATGAGTATGCGTGTAATGATTGAAGTATTGATGAAAGTAGAAAGAACAAACCAGAGAGATTGGGCTTAGGTCAGTTGTAATTGAGTTGTAATAGTGAAAATAGGTGTGAGTATGAGATTGCGAAAAATTAACACTAGAACTACCAACCCAGTGAAAATGACTGGTTCTAGAATTTTTCTTTTCGCAATCATCGAACACAGACACCTGCTTTAAGAATAAAAATGGTACCAACTGATAGAACTCAAAGAACTGTAATCAATATATTCACTCATATTCATCGTATCGCTGAAATGACCATAATCTGTGCACGTTATAGTTAGATGCCCACTAAAGATCGGTAGTTCTAGCGTTAATTAGATTTATACTTAATACTTGTGTTTGATTATTTTTGTAATTAAATAAAGACTTGTTCTTATTGCTATTGATATTTCATCCACCACTAACAGATGTACGTTTTAATTTAGGGCCCTAATTGGTGGGCCTGATCATTGAAATGAATAGAAAGTTAATTTGGGGAATCCCTCAGACTTTCTGAAATTAATTCACGAATGGAATAAGTAATACTGAAATAATATTACTGTATGCAGTATACTATTTAATAGTAAAGTAATAAATTAAATTCTCATCCCCTAAATTAACTATGATAATAATTTCGAAGAATCTCGAAGCTAATGATTTTTAACTTTCTTTACGAGTTTTATTGTTAGAATTTCGCGGCTCCCAAAGCAACAGATGAAAATAGGGAATGGATTAAAGGAAAATAAATGAATTAATTAAAAACTCGTATTGGAACCTTGGCCAGGA